GTTCTGAAAGTTCGATATAATTTTACTTTGGTTTTTGTCAGTGGCGACCTCTATTGGTTCTCATGAATTGTACGTCACCCTTAATACAGGTTGACTATATTCAAAATTATAGTCCAAATTAATGTTAATTTAAAGATTGGAATTTTCTTTATATGTAAATTTGTGCGACCATGGCATTATACTGTTAAAGAGTACCAAGTAAATATAAACAAATGTCTAGTCAGATATCATTATTTTATGAATGAAGACACTAGTTTTTAAAGTTGGCAACACAGCATTGTGTATAACCTTAGAATCGTTTCTCTCAAATTCAAATAAATTGATTAGATACACAGAAACACACAAGGGTGTAGCAATGCAGCGAGTAATACAATTAAATCTTGATCTCTAAATCAGTTTAGCTCTTTCTCTATAAGATTGTCTCACTATCATATTATTTACACTATGGTATTCGATGCCAATTTGCAAACCTCACAACTTTCTAAACGTACATACTGTCAAGTAGGTAATCTTTTCATATGGTTACCTCCTGCTAACAGAGATGACCAGCTCCCAATGAAACCATTTAGAAAAATCAGGTTGGAGGGTGAGATCTACAAATTGGCACCCTCTGTTAGTAACATGCAAATAAATTATTATAAATGTACCACAGCCACTATATGATGAGATTTCCTAAGGCAAACTCGCTTAGATATACGTATTTTGACATGTAAACACAATAAAAAAGAGCTGTAACAAAACATTTAATGATTCGTAATAACATAACGCCACGTAATAATAACGCCAACCTGCGTAGCTCAGATGAGTTTTACGTTAGTAGCTCTAGCTCTGGCTACAAGGGTCCTGGGTTCGAATCCCAGGTAAGGCATGGCTGTTTGTGATTGTATAGTGGGTTGAGTGGGGAGAATAGCTAATTAGCTAACACTCCGCCCACTATAAAATAAAGGCAATAAAAAAAAAAAAAAAATATTGAATTCAACTTTTTCATTGTACAGGCAGCTGGAAACTTGACATGCAAGCGTTCTTGTTTATGGTTCACATCGAGGGTGATAATGGAATATTGTATAACTAAATCAAAATATACACACAATACATAATGCATGGTTATGGCAAAGTTTGTAGACAGTAGAAATCACACACTGCAGAAGAATATTGTTTTTTTTGTTGACTCCATCCACATATACCTAATCTGTAAATTGTTGAACTATAAACATACTGTGTAGAGAAGCTAATGTTGCATAATCTGCAAATTTGATGTCTCCATTTATCACTACTGAAGTTGAAATTAAAATCTTAAAAGTGCAACAAGGCTACAATTCGATATTTCAACTGTACCGGTTGCGTTTGTGCCGAGGGTATGATAAACGAACTCCAAATTGGTATGGGTAATTATTAAAATAATAGACTGTGTATTACAGAGGTTATCACTAATAAAACTGTCATGTGTCAATCTGTTTCACAGAAAGGAGCAATAATTTGAGAACAAAATCAAGTCAAATTTTGAACAGTCTAAGCCTAAGTGTTGCGAATTGCTACACAGTTATTTGAATATTGTCAACACCAGTCTCATTCACGTCTTATTTTTCACAAATAATTGCAAATACAAATGTTTTAGAGAGCTGAGCTAAGTTATAAAAATGTTTAATTTTTTTTCAATTGTCCTTCAAATAGAGTTATGAAGATTAATCGAAAAACAAAAGAACGCCAATAACTTCGAACCAGGGCACCAAATCAATAATTGAAACTAAGAACAGTTGTTTTAATGTGTTCTAACTGCGGTTTTCGGGTGTAACGACTTGTTATTAACACCCTGTATAAAAGTGCTGGCCACTTAAAAAATTTAATTGGACGCCATTTTCCAAGATAGCGGCACATATTAAATTATTGGTAAGTATGTCTAACAGTAACCAACTAACAGAACTTATAATGGCAGTAGGCCTGCCTTTACTACCAAAATGTGGTATACAGTATGTTTAGCGTTCAATAACTTAAATTATACGTTCCATGAATGAATAAATAGGTTCAATAATCAGAAGACATTATACTGAAATTCCGCAATCAATTAATTTGTAAATGATGCAGTTGTTTAGTCGCTCCTTACGAAGCACAGTGTCTGTGCAGTAGTATTCTATTACCCTGTCCCTACAAGCGGAACTTTTACAACTTTGCCATTACCAAGTTTGAAACTTGAAATATTTATGTGGCATTTACTTACGGAATGTTTTATTTTCATAACTACTTACTTTAGTGGACCAAATGTTAGGTCCGAAAATAGTCGAAACTAACTGTATTAATATAATAGTTATTTGTGCCTCAGTAACATCGATTCTTCCAAAACGTAACGTACCGGACACGTAAGTTTGCCAATGTGCACAATAAAAAAGCGTCATTGCGCAAAAACACTACAAATCGATATAAGAAACATTTTATTTGGTTATCGGCGACACTCACTTGAAAAAACATCCAGTGAGGATAGTGACCTAATTGAATCGATATACATGTGGATAACGCGACGAAAACTGTCGATATTGAATCACAGCCGTGATCGAACAGTTCACCGAGGGGTGTTGCTGTGTTCGTCCTTCGTGCCTGCTTGCCATCGATGGCGTCTAAGCTTTGATACACAAATAGACCTACAGCACATAGCAAGCATGTCCATCTTGGCGCTTCGGTTTTAGCATCAGGTGCGTACCTACAAATGAAAACCTAAAGGCGAGTCCCACAAAGTCACTACGTACCAAACTAATATAAGCGTAGTAATCACATTTATGAATAAACCGACTATAGTAATGAGGTTAGGTGCCAACCAGATGGGTAGCTTTTCGACGAGCCAAGTCCAATAAGGTTGTAGAACTATGTCCAATAAACTGCTACTGGAGCATGAGTATCTGTGTTCGCTTAAACGTTTTAATTGCGCGTTGGAAAGTAATTTCTGTTTATACAATTGCATTTTCTTTCACCCTAACCACACATTTAGCAAAACTATTCGTAAAATTTTCAAGATAAAAATAACGTGATGTTTTATTAAAAATTTAAAGCCGATTGCGTGGAATTTAAAAATTTTTAGTCAACCAAATGTAAACATTCCACAGACCACAAGAATAAATCATTTCGTCATTTTTCCCACTACGTAAAAATCATTCCATACTTGAACCTGGGGGACAGAATGACGTCCCCATGAGGCGATGACGTAAGGGCAACGGATGTTGCTGTGCATCTCTGTTTATAACACGAGAACTACATAAAGTTGTCTTTGTTATCTGACGAACTTTATTGCCAACTTAACGTTTGGGAACATTTTATACAGTTAACTTCGAAGAAAAAGTTCAAGGACAGCAACCGAAGATAATCATAGTACTAAATTAAAAACAGTTACAATTAACATTCGATTTGCCTTCAAGCAGATTGAACCGATTGTCATACTTCACAATTATGTAACTGCGATAAAATGCGGACACTTTCAAGGTGACAGACCCTGAACAGAACTTTTTTGGCATAGTTTACAAAACAAATTGATTTCTGTTACGCAATTGATTTAATTTGCCTCAATAAAATCTACGCTGTACGCCTTTACTTTTACTTGACATTACATCTTAAGAATTGTGAACATTTATACAGGGTGCTCCAACATTCAGGACAATTCTCTAATTTTACTCTAGAAAGTAAACGCAGTTTGTAACCAAATCCCTATCTAATCCCGCGTGTGAAAGATTCTTTCCCGACTGAAGCGAAGCGAATAATTTACCCCTCGGTCCAGTGATATATACAATACTTTTTGTACTGGTATATTTGCAATGCAAAAGTAGAGCTGCGTAATGCACTCACAGAAAGTGCTTGCAATTACCAATTCAGTATGTATTTACGGAGCAAGCCTATAATTAAGCACTGTGCTTGTACATAAAGGGCTTACAAGCACTTTAGAGCAGTTCTGCAACACATTTCAAAAGTGCTTGAAAGCCAACACGAATACAAATGCGCCAATTTGTAAAGTGAAAAGGTGTTGGCAAAATCATTTTTATTTTCATTTATTTTTAGCGAACGTTCATATACGGGAAAGTAGCGATAACAGTTTTGTCTTTGTTATTAAAACTATTCCTTCAGGTTTGTAAATATCCGCATACAGTTTGTTGCAATTAATTTTGTGAATATTTGCAACTACATTGAAGACTTTTAATATGCAATTGTAACATACCATATACCTCGTTTATTCGAGCTGGTCAACACAAAGATGTCAGTTACTCTTTAAAATCTAACCTACGACTAGGACAATTCTCCAGCCTGATGAGATTTTGTACTGGATTGTCGCAAAAATCCTATATTTTCTCATAGGGATATTTGCATGGACTTGACTGTAACACCATCTGCCAAAGGACATTGCAAGTGCCCATAAGAACCCGGTGACTAACCTCAAGGAGGTAGTAGACACCCTTTTCCATAAATCCAACATAATATGGTACGTCATGTCCCTCACAGTCAAATTAACGTAATACAGTTTTAAATTTTGTAAACAGAATGAGTGCAGCATTAATGATGGGCTTATACAACGACTATCATTACTTCCCTACCATTAATTCAACAAGAAATAGCCAATAGAAGCAAAGGTTTATTGGGGCCAACCAAAGAAACCGTGCCTTTGTTTCTATTGCCTATTTCTTAATGATAGTCAACTAATGATAATGATTGTATAAACCAACCACAAATGTGGCGCAGAGTTATCAAGTAAACATCATACAATCTGTAGTGAAAAATAACAAAAATGAGGTTCTTCTACGAGTACATTAGAAATATCGGATACTAAATCAGGCAAATATTCACAACAAAATTGCATGAATAAATTCTGAGAGAAAGTACGATTCATTTAATACACTAATACCATAAAAAATTATTCTTTTTCTAAATTGCAATTACTGCCAGATACCAGAATGCAGAAGTCACTAGATATTATTTTGAAAATTAAAAAATATTGAGATTATAACAAGTGTAAATATTTCAAATTTCAATAACCAATGCTCATAAGTTATATTAAAGTTATAAAGGTGTACATAAAAATAAAAGATGTAATACTTGTAAACAGTTTGGTATTAAGGAACAACAGAACATGTAGAAGAATAAATAATGGTACTTGAGGGTAATAAAGCTAAATTATTGGAATTTAATCTTCATGTACTTCCATTTGAATAAACAGGTTGTAAATGCTTTTTAATTTCGTCCACTAACTTCCCACGTGGTACCTCCACTTCGTTTCTGGTGACAACGTTCCGAAGCTTAACGACACCTTTTTGGATTTCAGATTCACCTAAAATAATCGCGAGCGGTATTCCGTACTCCTCGCAATGTTGTAGCTGCGCCAGTAACTTTGGATTTTTCTTGTACGACTGTTCAGCTTTAATCCCTTCATTCCACAGCTCTTTGCATACCTTCATTCTTTCTTCCAGTAGATTTTTCTGTGCAGAGGCAACATAGACTTCGACCGCCGTCGTTCTCACTTTACTGGTACCGGCTAAAAGTTTCGCTTCGATTACAGCGAATATCCTCTCTATACCAATTGAAACACCAACACAAGGCACCTGTTTGTGTTTCGCATCGAACATGCCAACTAGATTATCGTAACGACCTCCACCCGCTATAGAACCTACTGAACCTGCCATATCCTCCGCGACAGGTTCCCCCAATAGAACCGCTTCATAAATGATACCGGTGTAATAGTCCAACCCTCTCGCTAGGCTCAGATCGAAAACGGCCTTGTCCTTAACACCCAGCAAGTCACAGTAATTGAGTACGAGCTTCATGGCTTCTAACCCTTCGACAGCAGCACGCACTTTCGTTAAATTAGCATCCGCTAGTAGCTTCTCGACAAGTTCATGTTTACCACTCATCTGCACATATTGACCAATTTTATCGGCAACCTCGTCCGTCAGACCTTTCTCCTCGATCATCTCTTTACGTACGTCCGCCCATGGCGACTTATCTAGCTTGTCAACTGCGGAGCATATCGACCTAAACTTCTCAGGTGGCACTCCACAAGCCTCAAACATTCCGTCGAGAAGAGCTCTGTGATTTAGCTTGATTACAAACGACCCGATATCCAATGACTCCAAGATTTCTTGCACCACTCTCACGCATTCCGCATCCGGAATCATGGGATCGTACGCTCCGGCGATATCAAAATCCTGCATAAAAGACAGGGCTGTACATTTATTTAAAGAAAAACTTTCTAGTATCTAAATACTACCTTAAAATATGCATTTCTCTTGATTTGTACATAAAATAATCAATTATTTGCTTACTCCATTATTAAATAATTTATTACTTAAATTATAAATAATTATATCCATTACATTACTATAACAGTCGTCGACTGTGTGTATGTGGTGCTCTATTTGCGATTCAGATTAACAGTGAGTCCTCTGGTGGCAGCACATCGTAATTACTATTGGTGGGGACCGCAATTTTGTTTATTTACAATGGCCAAAAGTAATCATGGACCAATGAAAGCTGTTGGAGCGGAAAAAGGGCTTATAATTTTTGGAAGTATGTCTAAAAAGTCTGTACAGCACCATCTTTCATCATAAAACTTCACCACTTATTTAAACCACAATGATAGCGTAGTGGGTTTTCTAGACCAGACCTACTTTTCAAGTAATATTCCCATAAAATTGTTACTATAAAATAATGGTTTTACCATGTTGTTAATGAAAATTGAGGTTTGTGTACGAAAATGATACAGACATAATTACTTAAAATTGTTTAAAAAATTTGAATTAGAAAGTCCATCATATGTAAGTGCTTATGCAACTTGTAGTCATAATTTCATAATTGTAGGTGATCATCTTTTGAAAATGCTGAGCAAGGAATATTAAATGCAGAACAAAACCTCCCTGCATTTACTAAATGCAGATCATTTCCTTTGCACAAGTAATTTGCAAAGTAGAACTCTTGACCTTATTTTTTTTGGTTGTGTGTCTATGTCAAGTTCAACATGCAGATATTGTTTTAGTTAACTCTGAATTAGAAGCCTAGTTACTCAGCCTACAAGTATCTAAATTACTTTGTGATGCAAGGAAATATAAAGTACTTCTTTTGAGTATCTTTTATAGCTCTTAACCGATACTTACACACTGATAAAATTCCCGATAACGCCCTCTGGTAATTGAGGGATTGTCACGTCGATAAACTTTGGCGATATGGTAACGTTTAATATTAGTAATCTTATTCATGGCGAGGTATCTGGCGAAAGGTACAGTTAAATCGTAACGCAGAGACAGAATTTCGCCGCCTTGATCCTTCAAATCGTAAATAAGCTTGGAATCTTCTCCGTATTTGCCTGTTAAGACCTCCTGCAAATAGAAAATGAAAAGGACGAAACAAAAGCGAGTATTACCTTTAATTCGAATATCGGCGTGTCGATGGTTTCTGCTCCGTGGCGTTTAAATACGGAAATGATCTTCTCGAAGACCGTCTCGCGAATTGCCATCTGTTGGGGGGAGAAGTCACGCGTGCCTTTGGCGGTTTTGAGCGTGAATTTTTGAACTTCACCATTTTCACAACTTAACTGAGATTTCAATTCCAAAAGTTTGGCTACCTCATTGTCAATCTACGAGTAGAATAGTTTGGTGTTCTTTACGTACTTGTGTCACTGACCTGTGGCTTTGACGAAAATGCAGATACACAACGTGTGAAGCGGACAAGATCCACAGGCAGTGACAGACGCGGGATGATACGTACAGAAAGCATATTGTTATTAAAATGTTGCCTAAAAATAGTGCACATTGTACAGAAGAGGACAGGCAAATTGTCTAATAAAGTCAAGGCAAACCTTTCACGGATTGTAATTCCATGCAAAATAAAAAAATTTAGAAAGTAATTTTTCCCTTTTTTTGCCAACTATACTGTGGCAAGATGAATTGCAATAATTTATTAGATAAGAATTTTTGCAACATAATTACAAAGTAAATGATGCAATACAAGAGAAATAACTTACCTTCTGTTTGCTTTCTTTTGCACCCTTCAATTTTCGAACTAATTCCCCTTGGTCCTTAATTAAAGCTTCCAATTTTTCCTTGCTGCTCATAGTGAATCACAACTCTTCATAAAACACCAAATTTATGCAAAATTTGTTCAGTTAAATCGCGACCATGTGCTTGGCCTGCACTTGCCTCGTAAGGAAATAAATTTGACGTTAAGTTGAGCAACCTAACCACAACCGAGGTCGGTAAGTGACGTAATCAGCTGTGCTGCATTGTTCTGCTATAAATATAGGGTGTTCCATTAGTGTTATAATTGACGAAAATTGGAAGAGAGATCCATCACCGCCGTAAATTCATTCCTCTCATTAATGCGATTCGTGCTTACAACTCCACCTCTCCTACACCCCATCCGCACACCCCCTGTAATGTTCCTCGCCCTTCAATTACATCTCCTTCACCTCTTTTAGAGCTTCTCCCTCAAGCCATTTTCGCGCTTCTAAACTCTCTCCATGACATTTCCCTAATTTTCGTCATTCAATCAAACCTCTCTCACATTTCCATCAAGCCCTCTTTACATCTATACTTCACGCCTTTACAGAGGTTTCTTTTGGGGTTCCTTCAGGGGGATTAGGCTTCTTCTGTAGCATTTTGTTTCGACTGAAAAGGTAAAAGGCATGGCATGCCTGAAAATGATAGGCCGATGTAGAGCCGAAGACTAGTTATTTTTACTGTTCAAAAACAGAGAAACCCCTAAAACGTTTATTAAGCATTTTTTTACTAGAAGCTACTTCCAAAGTGTCTGTTATTGGTTGACTCACCGTTGATTAGTCGCCTCTTACGACATGCAGTGCCTCTGCAGTGGGGGTATTCTTTTCCGCCCCCACACGGGTACAAGTACATTAAACATAAAAATCCATTCTACTGATCGAAACAGATCGTGCCCCCAAAAACTATAAGGGAAATGGTTGATAATGACTAAATGTGAGACCCATCGAGGGATTCGGTCATTATCAAATCTCAAAGGATATACTTCAATTACAATGGCACAATTTCTCATTTCTTTTTATTGCGATTGCACCGAGGAAAGGGAGAAAGAAATGTGTTTACTTTTCGGCGCTCATCTAACTTTAAGAAGAAGAGAGTTGAGCTATAGAACTTAATGTTTGCAAACGCTTCTTCCTCTAAATTTATGGGCGTAGAATCTCTACAAGAACAAGATAGCGTACTGCTGGGCTTTCCTCGAAAGATTTGATCTTTTAAGCCTTGGAGGTGTTATAAATTGAAAATTTCCTAAAGATCCTCTGAAGTTTCTGGTAAAGGCAACCCCTTTTTGTAAATATAAATTGTGGTCATTCTGCATTTTAAACATCTGAAATTTTAGCGCCCCCAAAATATTCAGCTATTCCCCGTTAAAGTGCAATGTCTCACTACAGCACTGTGATCAACTAAGTTTTGAGCAAAAAATACCCAAAAGTAATTATCATGGACAGTCCCATCAAAATAGTAACAGTTTCTGAGGGACAGTACCTCAATTTAGATTTTATATGGGTAATAGAGAACCAACTGACAACATAATTACAAACAGCTTACGTTATAGTGTACTTTGTTCGCCAATTAATTAACTACCTTTACATTTAAATTATAATTTTAATAGTTAATTAATTACAATATATCTCTATAGAAGACAGGACAAATGAGCAAGTCAACTAGTATGCTAAGCATGCAGAAAAAAAATTTGTTCGGTCCCATCGTTTGTTTTTTGCAATACAATTATGCTACCATTACATGCCTGATGAGAATTTATTCTACACTTCCCTGTATATACAAGCAATTAATATTGCGATGTAGATAATATATTAAAACAATTATTATGTACATAGTCTACCATAAACTTTAAAAATGATATCTCTAAACAAGTAACGACATGAATAGATACCAACAATTACTCATTCCTTATCTCGCTCTTAAATAAATACAATAACCTAATGCGTTTACATCCTGTTAAAAATATATCTAATATAAAATGATAAGGTTTAGCAAACAAAAGGAATCTAATTCTTCGAAATGCAGCCTTGCCAAAGCAGTCCCCCGCAGGATAAGCAAACTATTATATAAATAATCACAGCGACAATAACAGCTAGAATCACATACAACTTTACATTCTTCCAAAACAGCGATCGGGCCAAATTTCTACTCGTCTTACGATAAGCAAGTGACTGAAACCGAGTACAATAAAGACACAAATTAAGTCAGATAATAACTCACATTGTTGCTCAAATTTTCGGCTTTATTAATAAGCAGTTCCAATCTTTCACCTCTCATTGCAATGTTATCTGCAACGAATTGTTTAGGTAAACAAATTCAAAGTAGAGGGCAATTACCGATATTCTTGACCATGATGTTTTTAAGTTCGTCTAATTCGCCATGAACCTTGGAGATTGTATCGACATCGCTAGATTCCGAATAATGTTTCATTTCGTTCGCCAAAATCGAGGCGAATTCCGAATTCATCGCGTATCCCATTGCAGTGTCGACATTTGCCCCATAATTTGTTTTAAATCGTCTCTTGATCTCGTTAAGAAATAGGAAGGCTCTTGACCGCTCGAAATCCTGCAAGATTACGCTTAAAGCAAACAAGGTTTTACACTGGAGTGACTTACATCGTCCGTAATGCACATATAAATGATTCTGGATTCGCAAATGTAGTGGAATAAATAGTTGCCGTGCGTGTAGGTTAATTTATTGTCTTGCAGAGGTATTTTGGAAATAACTTGTTCCGTTACCTCTGGAAAGTTTCCGGCGCAAGATGCATATTTCGCAAGCACTGTCGTGCCCCTCGATATTACACTATACAGAATGGGCATCTGAAGAGCACACAAAGAGAATAAGTATGTTAATTATTATTAAGGTTACTAACCTTTGTTCGCCAATTGCGTTCTAATTTTTATATCTTTCTTTGAACTTATTGTTTTGCGAAGTTCATTAATTCGACAGATAAAGATAGTAAGATTTAAATAATAAAACAAAAATACGTTCAACCTTCAAGTCCAAATTTGCATTTTCATATACAATTTGCAATCTGACAAGACTTGACAGATGATTGAAGTGGTAGCGGTAGGGCGATACAAATGAACTACAAGAAGAGGAGGGAATTTGTTTCATATCGTAGTTCAAATATATTGACATGTGTGGTCCAGTGGCGTAACATGAAAGTATGCCTCATACTATAAAACAATCGTCGAAGCCCGCCTTTGTATAAAAGTAAGATTCCTCTTTGTTGGTAATCAATTAATGATAATACACATTATTACATTTTCTTTACGGCGCGAAACACTTTTAATTAATAGATGCTGGTAAAGCTCTTTTTTTGAAGAGGACCCTGTATAGAAGCGTAATTCAGCTGAATAGCGTGATGGGAAAAACTTCCATTGTTTGTTATTGTTTCATTTGTGAGGTTAGATATCCAAACTGTCTGTTGTTTATAATTCAATTTATGTATAAAATATTCTAAATAACTAAACCATGGATGCTTTTTTAAAGCGGAAAAATGACGAAGGTAAGAAAATAGTTGCATTACAAAGGTGATGTTAATCGCAAGTTGTAGAGAATTCAAATGACATGAAGAAGGCGAAACCTAATGAAACTTGTCCCCACGCCATTAAATGTTACCGACGAAATCCTCACCATTTCAAGGAATACGGTCACCCACACTGTAAGCCAAGTCAATTTAATTTTATGGTAAATAAAACGTTTCTTCGTAGTAGATGAACTTTTACAAAAAGGCGAGCCATTGGAACTGCCTCCCAATTACCCTCAACAAAAGCAGATTATTATGGAACAACTGGAGGTATTAAAAAGTTTGCGTGGTTTACAAAAGCCTGCAATGGAAGAGAACAAGGTTAAAGCGAGTACAAGCACTTCTTCGGATGGTGGTCGGCAATCTACAAGGCAAAAAACTACCAGTTACATTCCAAATTCAACCCCGTCATCTAAGATGCACAATGGGCCTTCAATGCTAGAAAAATTGGAAAAGAACGCTCCTTACAACCTGTTTTTCTCAATAATACCGGATTCACCACAGACAGTCACTCATCAAAATACAATTACATTTCACGGTACGGCTCTTGAAATTGTATAATTCCTTAGCTTAACAAATTTTTTTAAGAACTGCTATGTCCAAGTTTGGGTGATTTGAAATGCTCTCTTCAAATGAATTTTATGATCGACATCGCTTGGTTAATGGAGCAGTATGAGAAGATGGGCCAAGAGTAACGATTACGGTTGTCTGTTCTTATAATGTGTTCCACTTTCAGAAAGAAACCTTTGACCATTTTGTACGGCGACGAGTTTCCGGATATGAAGAAGTATATAAAGCTTAAGTTGCCTAATGTGACCGAGCAGTATGTTAAGCCCAAAGACCCTTTCGGCATTCACCATTCGTAGGTTTGCAATTGTGACTTTGCCCCATTTATAATTTTCTCATTTTAGTAAAGTTGGCATTTATGTTTATACTGATAACTCGCTGAGAGTGGTTGTTTCTACTGCAAATTTATATTATGAAGATTGGAATTATTATAATCAAGGGTAATACTAAAAGTAATACTAAGTTTGTGGTGTGCCTTAAGGTTGTATGGTACGATTTGACTTGAATGTTGAGCTTAGTTTAAAAAAGTCATTTCACACTTCTAAGGACTTTACTTACTAAAGAATGCCATAGCTAATTCTTTGTGTTTCTATGATTTTTGCATTTTTCTAGTTATTGTAATTTATAGGGTTATTGCTACTTGAAATTGAGAGTATTGTACTAAGAAATTTTGAAAATCGGCCATTGTTCTGCCAAGATCATATTTAAAATAAAATAATGCTCGCCGGGAGAGAATGCCTGTCACAGAACACCTCATCTGGTCTCCAATCGTAGGGTTTTCATATTAAACCATACAATTGTAGATCTGTATCAAGTGTTCTGTAACCGGCATTCTCTCCTGGCGAGCATAATATCTGCAAAAGACTGCGATTATAAATTGTTAAAACAAATGTTTGTTTGTCAAATACCTAATTAACATCAGGGTCTTAATTTGATTGTTTTCAGGTTGTGGATTAGCCCACGTTGTCCAGTTTTGGACGCTGCACAATCAGATGTTTCCGGTGATGGTCCCACCAATTTCAAAACTTCATTAATTAGTTATCTCAACTCGTACGAATTGCCCATCTTGAAGCAGTGGATAGACTACATTAAACGAGCCGACTTCAGTGCTGTTCGGTAAGGGTTTTCGACTACAAGCTTGCTTTGATCACAGTTACTCTAGGGTGCATTTAGTGGCGTCAGTACCGGGACACCACACTGCCGCAATTCGCCCATCAAACTGTCATTTACATCGCGTTGGTGAGTTACTGTCGAAACACTGCTCGTTGCCAGCAAAAACAACACCGACAAGCGAAGGTCCACTGTCATGGGGCATTATTGCCCAATCTTCGAGTATTGGTAATTTAGGTAAAGCGCCCGGAGATTGGTTGCGCAGTACTCTGTTGCGTTCACTCGCAAGTCATAAAGATTGCAAGCTACCTTCAAATTCGAATGCTACAATCAGCGTTGTTTATCCCACACAAAACAATGTTTTGGGCAGCTACTACGGACCTCTAGGAGGGGGCTGTTTACCGTACAGCAAATCAGCTCACGAAAAGCAGAAGTGGCTTAAGGATTACTTACAGTATGCTTATTTGTTTTAATTTATAAATGGTTTAAGTTTCATTTTTAGCGAGTGGAGAGCTGATGACTTATCTCGTTCGCGGGCAATGCCACACATTAAAACCTACTGCCGTGTTTCGCCTTGTACCACAAAGCTGGCTTGGTACCTTATTACCAGCGCAAATATGTCAAAAGCTGCTTGGGGTGCTAATATTAATAAAATGGGCAAGAGTTACGTGCGGTCCTATGAGGTTGGGGTGTTGTTCATCCCCAGCAATTTTAATGAAACTTATTTCCAAATTAAGCTCACTGATTCAGATTCACAAAATTTGTTTCCGTTTGTATATGATCTTCCATTAACGTCTTATAAGAAAGAAGATGAGCCTTGGTGTAATTAGTTTTTGTATTTACATTATGATTTAATAAAGTTGTTTCGCATTAGTGTTTCGTTACTAAAGCATGGTAAAGGATAGCTTAGGCTATGTAGCATGGATTCCTGAAAGTAAGGTAACGGCTCAATTCCCTAACTTGTTCGTAAGTTTGCCAAAAAAGAACTTTGAAGAAACAACTTTTTAGAAGTGCAGTAAGTAGGTACTATCACTGACAAAAGTAATGATCGCCTAATATGTAAACTGCAATATAAGCAACCAACATGCCTATCATATTCGGCTTCGTCAGTTGCTTCAAGGTGGTGATACCTTAATTTTGTTGGTTCGCATTTCTAAATTGATTTCTTGTTTACTTTATTTCGTTGTATACTCTTTGGTTACGTATGCTGCAGGATTTACCTATTCGGCGCTCATTACTTTTGTCAGTGACTGTACTAAGGTACCAATTTTTAGCGCATTTTTGCCTATTTATTTGTAAAAAGTAGCTTTTAATCTCACTTTGGCTCAGTGGCGTACGTAGAAATGTATTCTTGGGGGGGGGATTAAACAAGTTCGTGGCACATACAGTCACCCAGTGCGTACTAGAAGGGGGAGGGGGGGGGTAAGAAATAGAAATTGGGTTGCAGGTTGCTGATACTGGTAGTCACTTATCTATTTATTATTGTACAGGCGAAAAAGATTAGATTAGAACGGTATTTTATTTCTTACTGCTGACAGGCCCCTTTATTGCTTTTGCTTTAATTAGTCAACGAAAACTTTGAATAATAGGTATATTTATGGGCAAAAAAACCAATTTCGACAAAAAATTCAAAGGGCTGTAACTTTTGATCTAGTAGTCCGATCTTGGAACTGTTTGAAATTATGGATTCTACAGGCCACATTCTATAAGAAAATATTTTTTTCCCGTCGATCTGAGGCAATTTTTTTTCTGGGCAAAAAAAAAGGCAGTTATTACCTTCCTTTTTTACCAAAAATCGACTGCACCAAAATTTCTCGGGAAAAAACTTTCTCTTATTAATTTGGGTGCGTAGAATCCAAAACGATTCGTACTTTTTCGATTAGACGTCTCCATCAAAAGTTATGGGCAAAAAACCAATTTCGACAAAAAATTCAAAGGGCTGTAACTTTTGATCTAGTAGTCCGATCTTGGAACTGTTTGGAATTATGGATTCTACAGGCCACATTCTATAAGAAAATATTTTTTTCCGGTCGATCTGAGACAATTTTTTTTTCTGGGCAAAAAAAAGGCAGTTATTTACCTTCCTTTTTTACCAAAAATCGACTGCACCAAAATTTCTCGGGAAAAAACTTTTTCTTATTAATTTGGGTGCGTAGAATCCAAAACGAGTCGTACTTTTTCGATTAGACGTCTCAATCAAAAGTTATGGGCAAAAAAATTCCTGTTTTTAAAATTTAAAATTCTTATTTTCGTCATTTCGTGAAAGGCAGGACGCAGGTACCTCACCTCAGTAGCAGTACTAAGTACCTGATAGGTACCTATTTGTTATTTTGGGCATCAATGTAGCAAATTGCCGATCGATGCCGAATAACCAAATCGTTGACTGCCAACACTGATCACTCACTGAATAGTGAATACTGAATACTATAGAATATTTAGATTTTAGTGACTAACCAAAACCAAAATTGCTCTCTATACAGGGTGTCCCTAAAAGGTCTGTACAACGCGCTACCAGGGGTTCTTGGTATCAAAATAGGACGATTTAACCAAACTTACCTCTATCCAAAAGTGCTTCGGTAAGGCGCTATCTACCGCCAAAGATTAAAAAAAAAATCGTTATTTTTATTTTATCGGAAAATGGTTTTGCCGATTAAAATGAAATTCGGGATGTGAATGTCTAATGTAAAAAGGGTCTTTGTGATATCATCGTTTTGATTATAGTTGCTATAGGTGGTAAAATACTGACCATCCACATCTGAAGAGGTCTAAAACTTTTTAACTACTATTTTGACGGTTCTGAATTTTTAGACACTGATAGACAGTTTACTTGCAAGCATTTTTTGTCTCTTGATGAATATCGCTATCTGTGATGGTTTACGAAAAAAAAAATAATTTAGGCATGATGAATGGCATGCACCATACATGCGAATGTTCCTCAAAAAATCAGTTTTATTTTTTATTTATTTATTTAGTAGTTTAAATTAATACATTACATTGACTTACTCTGTTGTGTTTGTTTATTCTACGTTACATGCACTACGGTTTCATAGCCTACTTCTTGCTTGCACTTATGGTTTTTGAGAAACAATCGCATGTATGGTGTATGCCATTCATCATGCCTAAATTATTTTTTTTTCGTAATCAAAAAATGTTTTGAAAATAAAGTCGCCTTAATCTCTATGGATGGACGCATCTGCAAACGAGCAACATGTAATGGTTGGCAAATGACTATACCTATCCCCTGCATTTTTTAAACAAATGCTTTCGTCATTTTACCGACGCGACGGTTGTTTATAATTCAATTTATCGTGCAATTAATAATTACGAAATCCATTAGCTAATAGCTTAATGACATCGCATTATACCTAGAGAATTATTTAAAGCTTAATTTAGACTTCAACGGAAACGGGAGGGTTTGTTAGTATGAAACTGCAGGTCCGGCGGATTTGTGTGTAAAAATTATTATTCTCATCAAGAGAACAAAAAGGGTGAAATTTTCAATAACGTACACCTATTGTGTGCGTAACCGATGAGGGTTACTAAAATTGATTTTCATTGTTTGTATTCTTCCGTTTCCTCTTTTCATAAACCACAATAAAATGCCAGCAAGAATTTGCCAGAATATGATTTATTATTATGGCACATGACGTTAGAACGCATCGACGAGACCGGAAGTGTTGCATAGGGGATTCTAATAAAACTTGCAGGAGTTGCGCAAAGAAATTTTTGCTAATTCAATGGGGACAATGCTACCCTCTCGAAAGCCCTACGCGTTCTCCCTTCTACTCAATTCTCGCACTGCGTGTGTAAAGCAATGCCGCTGGCCCGCGCGTTTGCTCTAACCAGAGAGTCGCGTCGAAGAGGCAACCCTTAGCTCTAGTTAGAGCTGGCGCGTTTGCGGAGTGTCGTGTATGGGTGCTAATAATGATTTTCGTTGCGCGTAAAGCGTTTTTACCCTTTTCCACACAAACATGACGGATTTAAATTAGCACCTGTAAAGAATAGCAAAGCGGAAAAATGGAAGATAGCTCGCCAGATTTAAGTTTAAAGTTACGGAGGGGCTCGAGCGATTCTAGGGATTCTTTCTACATGGATTTCGATAAGGGCATTGATTCGGATATCGAAGAAATGGCTACAACGTCCGCCGCCGATCTGGGTGATACTACCGCCGAAACGACCGCCACCCCTACGGCGGCTCCGCAGCAAAAAGATGAAAGAGCGAGGTATTTCCTTAAGCTTTATTAACTCGAAATAGATTGTTTAGATGTACCTATTAGCGTGAGGACGAGTTAGAGACTTGGCCGAGCATGAAGAAGTGTGCAGGAGTTTTAAACTGATGGTATTTGTTACACATTTTCACTGGGCCCCGTTGAATGTAGTTCGTTGAACTTAACGTAATTTGATCGAACACATTGGGGTGCCTATAGGTATTTTAATGTATCCGCGCTTTGTTTTTTAAACAGGGGAGGTTTATGAATTTAATTTTACTTCTTCATTTATCACTGATAAACCTTCAGTTGTTTTTAATCTTATGAATGTGTATTTTTTGCCCACCTTTTGTATCAGCACTGATTTAAATAAGTTTAATTCATATTATCCGCAATTTAGGGATGCTCATACTTGGCAATAACTTAAGAATGTGGATGATTAAAAGATCGTTTTGCCATTGTTGATCGCATGTATGCGTATTTTAGAGTGACTTTTCCAGATCTTTTCATGATTCATCTTCGGATGGATTCTGACGGAATAAACTAAGGCAACGTATAAAGCATAATTCAATTCTCACCAAGAAATCCACCAATTTTTGAAACTACGTTTGCACATACAAAACTTACGAGCCACATAGAAATTATTTTTTAAATTTCTACTTTCCACTTAAAATGCGATATTTTGTCTTTAAACACAAACTTTTTACTTCAAACTTCGGCTTTAAACTTAAAAATCTCAACATTAAACACTTAAACACTTAAAATTTTCACTTTAAACTCGGAATACGGCACAAATTTAGAAGGGAAAACGTTACTTTCAATTAAGGTATGGGTAGGATTTAAAAAAATAAAAATTAGGTACACAAAAAGCTTTTATGTTTATTACTGTATCTATAAATAGATTTTGTCTCAGAGAATTATGTATAGTCCCATAACACCATAAGGACCTTTGGGGTTTTGTAAATACTCATTAATCATTGTAGCGTTACAAAAATTGATACGCGTCAGGAATCTCGGGTACATTATACAAAACTATCGGTCTATCAAATGGTGCATCTGATTTTCCAGAAGATCGTAATTTGGGTCCAGTCCACTCCAGATAGGTACACTTCGTCTAATTCTTCCTAAAATAATGAAATGAAATGCTTACATATTATTATCTGTCAACGTTCAGTCGACTATTCCCAAATTATAGCCTTAAGCCCGGTATGCAAAATCTTAAAACAAATGTATTCACCGGAATCCAGGTTTAAGCCAATGCTTCAAAATCAAAAGAAGCTTACTACGGCATCTTCTCTTCCACCATCACATTGTATTTAAGAGGAGGGACAGAGTAATAGTTCAATTTTTCATAAACAACAAAAGAATTTGGAAACCAGGTTCTATTACGAACAAACTAGATCAACTTCACTTATAGTGTGTCCCAGATCGCGTGGGATTGCATGGGTAACTTTTTTATTATTAAAGATAGAGAATTGGTTACTGGGCAATGTTTTGCAGTTTTAGATGCTTATTTAAAATTTCCTTGTGGAAATTCAAAATGTCGAATAGGTGATTTTGAGATTACTTGATATATTTTTTAATTCTCTTTTCAACGATAATTTTTTTTGACAGCAATTCTAAATTAAGCGTATCAAAGACAGTAACTTCTATATAACACTTTTTTTTATATATCTTATACTTTCGATGATATAAGACATTCATGGAAATGACCAATTTTATTTTTTTTTGAATTTACGTCAAACCTATTCGACATTTTTAATTTCCACAGGAAATTTTAAATAAGCATCTAAAACTGCAAAACATTGCCCATTTAACCAATTCTCTATCTTTAATAATAAGAAAGTTACTCATGCAATCCCACGCGATCTGGGACACACTGTATATGAATCAACTCCGCCGTACAGATATCAAAAAGGGCGCATTTTCAAATTACACCTCCGAAACATTCATTACAAAATGACGATTACTAACAGAATCGGATTCTCAACGTCACCCAGTTCCAGAACAACAAGTACAACTACCATATGCTGAGGAGCATTATATCAGCGGCCAAGAAGAGGAACGCGAGCACCAGCACACTTAGACCATTATGTTAGTTGTTACCAGACCTGTAAAAGATACTCGCAAAAAGTATCTAGTTACATTATAGCACAGATTTAAATAGTATATTTAAATCTGTGATTATAGTTACATCTAACAAAAAGTAACTAGTTACTATTCGTAAATTGTTACTTCACATAAAATAGTATATTATATACCGCGGGACTGAAGTAGTACTTTTAATCCCGAAGGTAAAGTTTATGGCCCGACCGAAGGGAGGGCCATAATTTACCTGAGGGATTAAAAACACTACTTCAGTCGCAAGGTATATACGATATTTTTCGTACTTCCGAAACTGAAACACTTAATATGTATGGAGTTAGAGAACGCGTTCTTTCAAAAAATCGCTACTTAACAAGTTACCATAGGAACGTTGCGTTGGTACGACAATTCCTATGCTGTGGTAACAAAAATAATTTGGAAACTGTCATTGCTAGTGTCATAATTTTGGTGGTGGGTGACAAAAGTGTATTTGATATTCATAAAAAGCAGCCAAATTAGGTAAAGAATTGATACCACCGAAATCCAAAAAACTATATGAGCAGCAGTACGATGCGTTTAAGAAGTAGTACCGCATTATACAAAATGTGGAACAACCTACTGAAATTGCCTTGTTAGTCATTTCATCCTTCCGGGATTTTCGTCAAAATTTAATCCCGGCGGGACAAAAAGTGACACTTCAGTACTTGTCATAATGGAGTGAAGTGGTCACTTTAGTCTCGGAAGTACGAAAAGTATCTTAAGTCCCAGATACTTGACATCGGTATCTAGATACTGTAACTAAATTATATGAATGTATCTCAGGTACCTGAAAGTATCTAAGATACTTTGAAGTATTTAAGATACTTTACAGTATATAAGTCTAGAGTAAGGTGCGGCATTTTTTTGATATTTATTGTGATATCATTTAAGAAATTTGTTTATTACCTCAAAATCAAGCGAAATTGAGTGAGTATTAATGGCATGAAAAGAAATTAACAAACAGTTCAATAAGCTAAATCCAATAAACCCGTATAGATAGATGTATAGTGTAGGGAGGATATAAATTTTGTACTTCTATTACATGTAGGTATGTACCTAAGTCACATTTATTTTAAACGTTTTTATTGAACCGTAAAAAAATTAAACGTTCAAAATTGTCGTCACTTTCGTATCTAAGATACTGTTAAAGTATCTGAGATACTCTGAAAGTATCTTAGTACTTTTCGTGGTATCTAGATACTTTAGAAGAGTAACATGTACAAGATACTTTACAAAAGTATCTAAAACATAGTTACTTTTTGGCTCAAGAGAAAAGTATCTTAGATACCTGGTATCTTAGATACTTTCAGTAACTAGATACCGAAAATACTCTCTTTCTAAAAATATTTACAGCTCTGGTTGTTACACACTGATTCTAGAGTTATCTTTGACAAGTGAACTTTTACGAGACGGAGACTGTGGTGTTTTTCATAATATATATATAATCATAAGAATCCAGAATGCATTGGTAAATGTAATAAAAATAAATACGTTGTTAATAGAATATTTTTTAACTTTCATGTTCGTAAATTATTCAATACTAAATATCTTGAAAACTGTAGAAGTTGTTAAGGCCTCGGACGGACAGATGGAGAAACTGGCCATAATAGCGCCTTCCAACATGAGTTGGAAAATGCACCAAAAAGAAGATTTAAACCACACGACCCAAGTTCAAGTAATGATGAAACGAGCGAATCGAAAAATTCGAAGAAGACTAGTATAGGAAGTGCAGTAGTAGAGTAATAATCATGATTGATAAATTTTATGCTGTTAACTAAGACGAAGGTACATATGAAAAATTCTGAAGATCAAAGGTTATTTTAAAATAACTTTTATAGAAGATTTTGGAACTGTTTCTTCATCATAATATTATGCTTTCACAAAATATCAGATGTTTATAATTTAAAAATACTTAACATTGGTTTTTGCAATGATATATGGATTACACGTCCCTTTTTTTAAAATTTCCTTTAAAGAGTCTTTGTTGCAAGCTTTGTGCATACCGTGGTTCGGACTCGGTATATTTTTTAAATTCAGCATCATTCTATACTACCCCTGATACTACCATATACCATTCCTTGGTCCACATCTTTTTAATGACGAGTTTGAATTTGTTAATAATTTATAAATAAATGAGATTTCTAGGCCTTTTCCTTCTCTTCCTCAGTTTTGTTTTAAAGAAGTAGCATAAAAGCAATAATTTGTGTCTTCTAACACGAAACAGTTTATTTTTTGAATATGGTTTTAGTTTGATTCGGCAAAGTATATCTCAGGAAAAGAGAAAACGAAAACTGTAATGAAATGGAGTGCCAATTGATTTGGACCGGAAGTACTGCGATATTGCAACGATTTTAAGCCTACTGAGCATTATATATGTGCAATATTTTCGACCGGTAAATAAAGTGGATCAACGATACGAATAATGAATGTGCCCGTAAGTGAAAATTTGGTAAGGAAGTAAAGAAAGAAGGGAATGCTTTCAGGGGTAGTTGGGCAATGAACTGATCAAACACAGATTAATATTTGGGAAAAGGATTGATAGGTTTTTGAAATTTACAAATACATCGTCCTTTCTTAATAAAACTGAGCGCATCTTAGGTATCATATCGTAAATCCATGGGGGGTGTGACGTCGAGCTGGCGTTTGATCCTTCACTCAACGGTTTGATGTAAGATACTTATGCGAACTACGAACCGAAACCCTCTACCTACACTTTATCTTATGAAGGGGACACCCTAAGAAATAAATGATAGATCCAGTTTTCACCGAGAGGAATGTCCAAACAAATTTGTGAGGAAATGACCATTTGTTGGAACATTACCGGATTATACCCATATTCGGTTTTTAAAATGTCTGAGCATGATGGCAGAGGTAATTAGCGTAACAATTACGATTTACTGTAAAGCTGTACGTTTTAATAGGGCATATGATTTGAAGGGGAGAACTCGTAAGTGAAAAGGCTCGATGTCGACACAAAAATAAAAACGCATGTCGCATTAAAACAAATTGCGAAGTGCATTCATGGGAAGTAACCCGCGAATACGTTAATGGAACGATTTAAGCTAATAGAATAATAGCTTTGTTACCCGTTCTAACCCTACACACTTAGTGTGCGCATCCAACTGGCTTATGTTGTACCTTCCAATAATGGCTGGTTCCAATTAAATTACACTAAAAATGCTAATCGAAGACAAAACGTTAAGGTATGTCCTTTTCAACGTACGAAGACGTGCACCCCAAGGGAATGAAAGGAAACCTAAAATAGATCATAAAAACAATTCTGTTTCCTGAACTGACGAAAAACAGGTCGTTGGCTTGGAGGTTTAATTAAGTTTATATGTGGAATTTCTGTTTCAGTTGGCCCACAATTCCGCCCCAGAATATCAGTGGAGGTAGTCGAAGTAGCGCGTTAGGTGGCGGCGATCCCTTGCTGCCGTCCCCTGCTTCGCCGAGTGCCATTATTGTTTCCCCGGAAACGCTGAGCCACCAGTCGTCTCCCAGCAAGGCGGCAAAACAAGGGCATGTGCAAATAGCGCCGACACCAAGGTATCTTTTGCGGCACAATGCATGCTGCATACGCAGTAAATCAATTGTCAAAGAACTACAGCTCAATCTCGGTGTCGTGACATAATAAGCTTAAATTCTCGGCACGCGATTTCCCCTGGAATCTTAATACGGCGACGTTTTGTGCGTTGAAGTCACGGAATGCTTAAAGAATCACGGCAAATATTTGGAAACCTTTTAATTACCTCTGCGCCAGTGTTTCGTAATTGAGAAGGGTAGACTGAATTTCATTTTTAAGCTCGGTGTTTGTATACCACCTTCGCCAAGGGTTGTTTGCAGGACATGTTCTTTGGCTGTTAATTAGATTTCATTATATTGAAGACGCGATATTGATGAAGGCCCACGCTGAGATCAAAAGGCATATCAGTGAGGACCTTTTAAGTTAATTGCTTATGTTGAACAGATGTTCATCGGGAGTAATGTAATAAGCATTGAATAATAAATCTGAATAGAAGGTCAGTGAGATAGGAGAAAAGGTGGCCAGTATTCTTTATCTAGAATGTGCTGGTATCGTACGGCAAGTAACAAAACGTGATTAAAGGAAACTCTTCAACATTTTTTAATTCATACAATATAGTCGAGATACTCACTTCAAAATGAGTAGAGAGGTGAGAGAGAATGTTTTGACTACGGTGACATCATGCCATTGATAAACTTACGCACGTCGGTAACTGGATACCTTTGATCATTGAATTTATAGATAGTTATAAATTCAATGCTTTGATACAACGATCGTCTAAATATAGTTTTCAGATGAATATCCGACTTAATTTTTTAACAAGTTATAAGTTCTTAATTCAATAATAATAACAGCGTTGTTGCAGAACGTAAAAAGTCAATTATTGGATACAAGATAATTAGACAACAATATGCTATGATAATATGATAAAGGGTCCGTTCACTTAGCCAAAAATGAACTAATTTTTTTTACGTATTGTTACGTATTCGCACCGTTTGTGCCTTTTTGGTTTTGGAGATAATAGGACAAATCAAATGGGGGCAACTTAAATCGTTATTTTTTTGTTATTTGTGACATTTTCAACTAACTACATACGAAATTAGATCATTCACTAGTAGGCGAGAGACACTTAGTAACCCCAAGGCCCATTCTTCAAACGAGTACCTATAACTTTTATTTGAAAAGTTATTTTAAAATTTTGTTCCTTAACTCATCTAGTATGTACACAACCAATTTCGTGGAATTCTCTCCATTTTCGTTGTCCGGCCAAGATTTGCAGTGGAACTTTTTTTTCGAATTTTCAAAAACTAATTCCAGATTCGTGATTTTTATGTTCAAAAACCGCCAGGCACCAAATTTCGTCGAAGCAGGGGTGCGCCCTTCCGTGATAGGAATTTTGAAAATTTTTTTCAAAATCGGAAAGGGCATACCTGAAAACCTAATTAAAAACGTGTCACTCATCTTTGTAACTGTTGTGTAGTGATTGTTTCAGGTACGGTGAAAATTTTTTTGCGGTTTTAGGTCACTAAGTAGGTCTATTTTAAGAATCCGTCCAAAAATGTCTGCAAAAAATACAAAAATTAAATTTTTTAAAAATATGGGCATGTAGCACATCGATTTTAGGGTTTTGAAGTTTTCTGAATTTAAATTTTTAGTTAAAAATGTTTTTGGGGGCATTTTGGAGGAGTGAGGGGTGTTTTTAAGGGGTGGGTTTTTATATTTTTTACATCGATTTATATGTTTTTATGGATAAGGATCCCGAATTCCATATCAAAATGGAGGTACAGCAAGTTATTCAATGTTAAAAAAAAGTAGAACGACGCCGACAGACGGCCCGAAAATTACATAAAACGCACGGTACGCCTCGCCCGCGCTGCACGACATCATTTTAATAAAAAGATAATAATTTTGACGCTATCTTGTATATCTTTCTAGGATTTATTCAAAAATCATACTTTGACATCAAAATTGTAATCTCCACCCCAAGAAACCTATAAAAAGACGTATTGCACTTGTTATAATTATTATCTTTTTATTAAAATGATGTCGTGCAGCGCGGGCGAGGCGTACCGTGCGTTTTATGTTATTTTCGGGCCGTCTGTCGGCGTCGTTCTACTTTTTTAACATTGAATAACTTGCTGTACCTCCATTTTGATATGGAATTCGGGATCCTTATCCATAAAAACATATAAATCGATGTACGACAAGTTAATATTGAAAAAATATAAAAACCAACCCCTTAAAAACACCACCCCAACCCGCCAAAACGCCCCCAAAAATATTTTTAACTAAAAATTTAAATTCAGAAGGCTTAAAAACCCTAAAATCGATGTGCTATATGCCCATATTTTTTAAAACTTTAATTTTTGTATTTTTTTGGCCGCCATCTTGAATTTCTCAAAATGCTCAAGGGTGCCAAGGTGGCATTCTCAAAGTAGACATCCTTACGAACAAAAAACCGTCAAAAAACCTTCACCGTACCTCACTTCCAGGTTAAGCCAAAAATCCCAGTTTGGCGCCAATTAATATAGTTTGCGTTGAGCAGTTTGTTGCTGCCCTTTCTTCCAGTAAGACAACACAAAAGTAACTGGTGATTGCTGAGAAAAAAATTAAAGAACTCCAAATTTCACCACTTCTTTGGGGGTGGCTCCCAAACGAAACACGTTTGACCCTCGGTTTATTTGAAAAAAAGTGCTTATCTTGAACCCCTCGGCCCTCTATCACCCAATTTTCACCCTGTATAACCAACTTTAAATGACATCCTTACCTTTCCATGTCTATATATATTAGAAGTTTTAGTTTTTGTTAAGATGAATTCAGATATTTTCAATCGTCTGAACGTTAATCATCAATACAACACAAGGTATGGTCATAAGCTGCAGTATGAAAGACATAATCTGAAAAAGTATAAACAAGTATAAATTGTGCACAACTCTTGTACAGCATTTTTTTTACCGAAATAGCTTTTGTTTTGACATCACTAATTGATATATTTCTTGCAGACGTCTCAATCGCCCTTTGTGAGTACCACGAACTTATAAATTAAGATAAAAGATAAATGCTGAATTGACAAATGACACCTACATGGGGGCCGCCATGATGTGCACTCACATGGCGCGAAATTCAAATCAACTAATAAACAAGCATTAAAACCCAACATTAACCTCACATTTTCTAAATAAATTACTGTGACACATGTCATTTTCCAAGGCTGCAATAGTCTCAAAACTTGAGCACTAGGAAAATTCCCCTACAAAATAACTAGAATGTGTACATCATGGCGGCGCCCCTGCTAGGGCCATTTCTACCTCTATGCAACTGTTTGATCAGCGGTCCATCTTAATTTATAAGTTCGTGTGAGTACCCTCTTCCGACAATCCGATCTTGAGGTATAAGGGAATATACCTGATCACGATAAGAGGTTGAGGAGGAGGGCTATGATTGGTAGAAATTAATT